GAATCACCATCCCTAGAGGAGTTTAAGTCCAAGTTTGACAAGGTCCTGGCTGGGATGATTGAGTTGGGATTGGTCCTGCTTTGGGCAGGGGGCTGGACACGATGACTCTTGAGGACTCTATCAATCCTGGGATTCTAGGACTCTAGGAACCCAGACGCAAAATCCAGACAAAAGTAGCAGAAGGAATCATGGCTTGGTGATGATCATGTTTGATGCTCATTGATCCGCCTGGTTGGGTGCATGAAATTATGGGACCAACATCTTCTGCTTTGAACTAGAATCACACCCCTGAAGTCAAGCTCTTCACGTGACCCATGATAGTTAAATTAGTTACGTTCATACGGAAACATTCAGAGACTAAACAATTGATTTTCTAATAGGTAGACTGACAGATGGATTTGACTTAGGGTATGTCTACACCTCATTCCAGGGGGAATAACAGGTAATTCGAACTAACGACTTAGTTTGAACTACCATTTAACTGCCACCGGTAGCCCCGGGCAGTTAGTCTGGACTAGTGGCATTTAAAAATGGCGACTGGATGGGAAAATGCAAATAAAGCCCGGGATATTTAAATCCCGGGCTTCATTTGTAAGTTTGAATGCCTACATTGGCGTCCCTAGTTCGAACTAGGGAGCTAGTGTAGACATACCCTAAGATAGATAGATAGATAGATAGATAGATAGATAGATAGATAGATAGATAGATAGATAGATAGATAGAGGGGGTGTATGGGGATAGATAGATGCAAATACACACACAACCCATGTGCTCCAACACACATGAAGCTTCTCGACACACGCATGGAAAGTTCTGATGAAGAAAGTGGTCTGGCTTTGCTGTAACTGGAGAAGGGAGCCAACAGCCTTCATTGGGCGAATGGCTGGGGAACTTGGTGCTTGCATCAGAGCCTACCTTGTGTAGGAGGAGCGGTTCCCTCTGCTCGCGGCAGGCGCTGGATGTGCTGAGAGAACAGAGGGGGTTTTGTTTCCTTTCCTGGCCTCTGGGAGCCGGTCGCTGCAGGGAGTATCTCGTCATATTCCTTGGAGGACGAGCAGCCCGCCCTGGAACTGCAGCAAAACAAATTCACGTGGCCAGTCGAGTCGTAGGACATTGTACCTACCCCCTCTTCCTTGTCATCCCATGTGCTTTGTGGAGGAAACTCGCCCTGGGATTTACTGACTGTGGTAAATTGGGTGACACTTATTTCTCCCACACAATCCAACACACAGAGTCGGGGCAGGGGTAGGAACCACCCCCAGGGCTCATGGCTCCAGGTCCGTGAGGTTCAGACTCTGGGCCCCACTCTTGTCTCAGAGCCACAATGGGAACCCAGGAGCTCTGGCTCCCGGCTCCACCTGCTCTGACCACTATCCCCCACTGCCCTGACAGGGCTCAGAACCCTGATGTGACGGTGCCTGATGCAGGTTCAGCCGAGCTTCCCACCCTACTTGTCTTTCATCTCTATGGCAACACTGGGGTCAATTTCTCCGTTAGACCAAAAGTGACAAAGACTAACGCAGCTAGCCCTTTGATTCTTTAGACCAATGATCCTTTTATCCTTTTATGAGCCTGGACCTCGGATATTGACCCCTTTTGGGCAGCCATCAGCCGCCGTCCAGCAGTAAGACTAGCCCAGCCCGGCCTGGCCACGCCACCCAGGTCCCCTCCCTGCTCTTTGCAGCCTCTGAGATGAGGGCAGAGGAAGAAACAGCCCGGAGGGGCTGTCACGGCAGGGGACGGTGACATGACTGACTGACGGTCACTCCTGGAGAGACCGCTTCTGGACCAGCAATGAGGCCTTGGCCTGACACTCACGACGTCGATTGCTCTCGTGGGCAGGGCTGCTGTGAGCCAGGGAATGAACAAGACACAGCGGGGAGGGGAGGTCTCCTGTTGGACAGGCTGCTGTCTCTCCCGGCAAGACAAGATACCAGCCCCCCCGCCTCGTGTTTCTGAAGTCATTGAAAACATCTAGACCACTACTCCGCAGGGAAATGCTGTTGGTGACGGCGGGAAGTCGGTTGCGTCAGCCTTGTTGTTCTGCAGGGAATGTCTTTGCTGGAGCCCAGGAGGGGCCGGTTCAACCCCCGCAGGGGAATAGTTTGAGTCCTTCTTCCCCAGCCAACGATCGAATCTTTGGTCTGACTCCCGGCAACCCCTGACGTTATGTCGACAGAACTCAGCAGTAGTGTAGATGCTGGTATAGTTTTGTCGACAAAAGTGGACTTTTGTCGACAAAACTCAGTAGTCTAGACACACCCTTTGACACATTTTGTATCCATTCGTGATACAGCTTAAGTGATATGAGAGCAAGGTAGTGGAGGATGTAGGTTAGGAAGAGGGAACAAACCACTTGGAAACGACATGTGCTAATGCAGCTTTTGTAACTGCCAGGTTTTCATAGCACGGTTTATACGGTAACTGAACACCTCTGTGTTCGCTAACATGTCAAGGATTATTGCTTTGATTATTACGACATGCGTGTTGCACTTTGGCTAAACTATTGAATGAAGCAGAGATGAGGGAATTAATGTGAAATGAACCCTGTTGTATCAAATTATTTGAGTGGTGGTTGAGAGTGTACAGTGGGAAACTGAGTCAGACATCCCTAAATTATGGCTTAATCAGTTTTGGCTGTATTCAACATGATTACAGAGAGAATTAGTGTCACTAATAGTGTCTGGACATATTTCTGGTGACAAGTAACAACAGGTAAGTCACAGTAGCTAAGTAGGCCCAATTTACCACATTTAAGGGACAAGTCCTTCCTTCTCCCATGATAGTTTTCACCTCCCTGGATCTTCTGGTCTTGTCCATTAGTCTCTTTCATTGGTTTCTGGTCCATCATTTTTCCAGCTCTGGGCCTCCTTTTGATATGTATTCTCCTACATTTTCCTGTTGTCAATTGCTGAACACCCCTCTCCCCGCACTCTTTATCCAACATGTTATCCATTCATTTTATATAAGCCAAAGCTCATGCACAACTTTTGGCTGAATTTCTGGTTTCCATGTCAGGGTTGCCTGAGCTACTCTGTTTCTAAGTTTCTCAGAGAAAGGGAACTTTTATTCTTTGTCAGTATGTCTGTAGTGCATACGTCTTGCAACCTGTTACGTTAACATACCTAGTCACCGATATCATTTTCAACATTCTGCCCTGTAAATTCCGGAACACTGCATAGGATCTTCGTCACCCACTTCTGCTCCGCAAGAACGACACCTGTCTCTAGTGCCCCATGACCCGTTTCTACAATCATTAGGGCTATCTCACTCGACCTCTCTGTTGTGGTCTCAGAATTGGCAACTTTCAAATAATTGAAGCTGGATTGGGGAAGTGACTTCTCTAGTTTACTCTTTTCCTGGCTGGGGCAAAGTACAGGCTTCCAAAGAAGAGACCCCCTGTAGAAATCTACCCCTTATTTCCTATCTGAGCCATGCACCCCAAGACTGGCCAGGGTTAAAGACTCACTCAAATCTCCCAAACTCGACTGAGCCGAAGCAAGCCAGGTGCTGCTCTGGAGAATTCAATCTCAAGGGCAATGATTAATAATGTTTTGGAATTTATTTCATTTTTGTTGATATTTATTTTTAGCCCCCTAAACTCAACAGGCTTTGGAAACGTACATGATTGATTGGGGCAGAGATTACATACGGGACCCAAGGCCTGCCTACATTAATCTAGCTCTCTATGGCTACGTCTAGACTGCAAACCTCTTTCGAAAGAGGTTTTTTTGAAAGAATCTTTTGAAAAAGCCTCTTTCGAAAAAGAGCGTCTAGACTGTAATCAGTACTTTCGAAAAAGCAATCCGCTTTTTTCAAAAGAAAGCACCCAAGCAGTCTGGATGCTCTCTTTCGAAAACGCCCTGTTTGCATTCAAGAACGCCTTTTTTCGAAAGAGCACTTTTGAAAAAAGGCGTTCTTCCTCGTGAAATTAGGTTTACCGCCGTCGAAAGAAAAGCCGCGTTCTTTCGAATTAATTTCGAAAGAACGCGGCTGTAGTCTAGACGCAAGTGAAGTTTACCCTTGAGTCTGGACACAGCCTATGTGTCTTCTCATATATTCCCTGGCCACGCCCATTGGATAACACCCACTTCCTGAGTGGCACAGAGCGATGGTCGATATTATCAAGTTGAATAGGATGGGCACAGATGTTGATTGATATTGTCCTCCAGGAGCTGTCCCACAATGCCCCAGGCTGATCGTTCTGGTCACAGAAGTTAACTCCGCTGCCTGGGGTGCAGCTGGACAGGAAGCCCCTTTTCCCCCGGCAAGCCCCGCCCCATGTGAAATTTCCTCTCTTGGGGGACCCCAATGGGAAGGGCCCTTGGCTGTGCCCCACTGTGGAGTAGAATGGGCCTGTTGAGCACATGGCCCACAGTCTCCAGACACACTGCTGCCGGCGATGATGGCATTTGGAGGCCCTTATAAATCATCTGAACCCTCTGCAATTGCCCCTTTGGCTCCTACCGTCTTGCCTCCTGCTGCAGCCCATGAAGACCTAAACAGCTGTACTCCCGCCCCCACACACAGCTCTCCCTGTCAACACCCCACATGGCATCAGTGCCTAGATCACTGCCAGCGCTGGTCCGCCTGGGAGGTGCTGAACAACCCAACAGCTCCATGTATTCCATCCCATGACAGACATGGTTGCTGCCTGTGTGCCAGGAAGGCAATGTTTCCCTTTTGAAGCTTCATTTCATATTTTGATGATCGGGACGCTCCATTGACTAAGTCTTCTCCTTTGATTTTTTTTTCAATGATTTTTTTTAAAAGGTGCTATTTTCAGGTACATTAAGAACATCAACATTTAGAGGTTGTTTTTCATGACAATGATTTCTCTTTCCATTATCCAGGCAAGTTGAGAAGAGATCAAAACCTTTCATATGACAACATTTGAATAAAAATCTAGAGTCGTTGTGAGAAATATAACAAAATATTTATGAATTTTCCTTAATCCCCCCATTTTGACTCACTCTTCTTTTCCTTCTCTAATTTCTCCATCAACGTGCAAAGATGTTCTTCTCTATTGCTTTTCTGAAGGCTCCCTTCACCTCTTTGTTCCTCAGTGTGTATATCATGGGGTTCAACACAGGGGCCACAATGGTGTTCATGAGGGAAATCATTTGATCACTCTCCATGGTGGATTCAGATTTGGGCACAAGGTAGGTGAAAAGGGCCGTTCCATAGAACAAAGTCACCACCACGAGATGGGAGGAGCAGGTGGAAAAGGCTTTACGCCTCCCCTCTGCTGATGGCAGCTTGAGGATGGTGTAGATAATGCAGATGTAGGACAGAAGTATCAACAGGAAAGGGCTCATGACAAACAGCCCAGTCAAAATGAACCCCACAATCCTCATGTTTGTTGTGTCGGCACAGACCATCTTCATCACTGGTGCGATGTCGCAGAAGAAGTGGTCCATGTGATGGGAGCCACAGAAGGGCAGGCTGAAAAGCCAAGTTGTATGAGCTACGGCCACTAAGATACAGATGATCCAGGAAGCCCCCGCGAGCCATGAACACACCCGGCCGCTCATGATGGTCGTGTAGTGCAAGGGGTGGCAGATGGCCACGTAGCGGTCATAGGACATGGCCACAAGGAGGCAGCATTCCATGAAGCCCATGATGGTGTAGACATACATCTGGGCTGCACATCCATGAATGGAGATGGTCTTTTCATCCACCAGGAGGTGAATCAGCAGCTGAGGGACCACACTGGTGGTGAAGCAGATTTCCAGGAAGGACAGGTTGACCAGGAAGAAATACATGGGGGTGTGGAGGGAAGGGTTTAGCAATATCAAGAGTATAACAAGCAGGTTCCCCATCAGGGTGAGCAGGTAGACCACCAGAAGCACCAAAAACAGAAGGATTTGCATCTTCTTAAGGTAGGAAAACCCCACCAGGATGAACACACTGGAGATGGTCTGGTTCTCACCTGGGTCGATCTCATAGTAGGTCATCTACAGGGACGACAGAGATACACTGGAGCTGAAACTCAGGAAAACCAAACAAGATTGATGCAGCTCATCTAATTCCTACTGGTTTCCTTTTTGCTGGGAGGTACAGACCCACATATCCAGCCCAGACACAGTTGGGATGTCATTCCCATTTCTCCAGGGTCGGTCAGCTGGAGAGATGCCTCCTTGGACACCAGTAGAGCTACAGCTGATATACAAGCAATGGGAGTTGGCTATGTTGACTCTACAGGACCTACATCAGTTTATCCCAGCAATGGGGGCATACAAGCTTCCAATATCAGGAGATCAAACTTATTCTCTCTACATGGAAATTGAAAAGGATCTTTCTTTCTTTCTTTCTTTCTTTCTTTCTTTCTTTCTTTCTTTCTTTCTTTCTTTCTTTCTCCAGCACATTGACCCAACCGATTGTCTCCAATCTCACTCCTACCTCCATCCCAGGAACAGTGACACTAACAGGGAGCCTCCTATGGAAGTTACAGCTGAGATGTCTGAGAACTGCTCGTACGATGAAACTGAGGTTCCTGATCCCACCATGTTTGAAGCCATTTGTAAAGTGAGAAGCAGGATGGATGTTACAAATAATGGGGGATTTGGGCCTTTTCTTCCTTGAATATAACAGAACAAATGAAATAATTCCTGGTGCTGTCATAACAACATCAAAAATACATTGGTGTGTATCAATACACGGAAAGAAACTCAGGGCTAGTTCCACAGCTGGTGTAAATATGAACAGCTCAATGGGTATAATAGGTGCTATAGTGATTTACACCAGTTGTGTGTCTTTATTCTAGGACCTTGCTATGAAGAATTTACAAAAAGGAAAATCTTACAGGGTAAGGGTCTCTTACCTTCTGTGCCTGGGAAGATAATGGAGCAAGTAATTAAGAATTTCATTTGCAAACATCTGGAGGAAAACAAGGTGATAAGGAACAGCCAGCATGGATTTGTAAAGAAGAAATCATGTCAAACCAATCTGATAGCTTTCTTTGATAGGATAACACATTTTGTGGATATGGTGGATGTGGTATACCTAGATTTTAGGAAGGCATTCGATATGGTCTTGAGCGACTTTCTCATCAATAAACTAGGCAAATACAAACTTAGATGGGGCTACTGTAAGGTGGGTGCATAAGTGGCTGGATTACCATTCTCAGAAGGTAGTTATTAACGGTTCACTGTCATGATGGAAGGGCAAAACAAATGGGATTCTGCAGGGGGTTGTTTTGGGACCAGTTGTGTTCAATATCTTCATCAACTATTTAGATATTGGCATACAGAGTATGCGTATAAGTTTGCAGATGATACCAAGCTGGGAGGGGTTGAAACTACTTTGGAGGATAGGGTCAGAATTCAAAATAATCTGGACAAAGTAGAAAAATGGTCTGAGGTAAACGGAATGAAGTTTAATAAGGACAAATGCAAAGTGCTCCATTTAAGGACAAATCCATTTCACACACACAGAATGGGAAGTGACTGACTAGGAAGGAGTCCTGAAGAAAGGGACCCAGGGGTCATAGTGGACCACAAGCTAAATAGGAGTCAACAGTGTGATACTGTTGCAAAAAAAGAAAGTCATTCTTCCATTCCACTCTGCTCTGATAGGGCCTCAGTTGGAGTCTTGTGTCCAGTTCTGGGCACCGCATTTCAGGAAAGATGTGGAGAAATTGCTCCAGAGAAGAGCAACAAAAATGATTAATGGTCTAGAAAACATGGCCTATGAGGGAAGACTGAAAGAATTGGGCTTGTTTAGTCTGGAGAAGAGAAGACTGAGAGGGGACATGACAGCAGTTTTCAAGTATCTAAAAGGGTGTTACAGGGAGGAGGGGGAAAAATTGTTCTCCTTGGCCTCTGAGGACAGGACAAGAAGCAATGGGCTTAAACCGCAGCAAGGGAGGCTTAGGTTGAACATCAGAAAAATCTTCCTATCTGTCATTGTGGCTAAACACTGGAATAAATTGCCTAGGAAGGTTGTAGAATCTCAATCACTGGAGATATTTAAGAGCAGGCTGGATAGACGTCAAGCAGGGTTGATCTGGACGGTGCTGGGTCCTGCCATGGGGGCAGGGGACTGAACTTGATGACCTCACGAGCTCCCTTCCAGTTCTATTATTCTAGGATTTTATACAATTTTCACTGATGTTTTACTTGAAAGTTATTAACTGAAAAAGATTTTCATAATAACGAGCGAGACAGTTATTATGAAGTGACAGAGTCTAAATGAAAATGAGACCCAACAAATATCGTACATTGCATGCCCTTATCACCTTCAAAATCCGTCTCTTAAAGCCACGCATTGAATAACCGCCACATAATATAAGGGAAGCTGGGAATGAGAGAGCGAGGAGACTTGGATTAAACACTGAGTATGCATTTCCATACATGGAAATTGAGTTTTTCTGTTACCTGGATTTCTGAATAATCACACAACTATTGGCCTGGAAAATTACACACACACACACACAGAAGAAAGGGCTCCAACTCTCCAAAGGGTGCAGCAGGATCGCATACCCAGAGTCAAAGTCAATCACAGAGAGTGAGATAAATCCAACAAGAGAAGCAAACGCTGGTGTTGCAAAGAGCACTGCACAGAGCAATTGAAAACACTGGTATAGCATGTTCTGTAAAGATGGGAATTCTTGTGTGTCTCTCAAGAGCTACTTTGGGAACCTACACTTCTGTGAGGACTTTCTCCTGCATGCCCAGGGCAGGGGATGCAGGACTGGCTGGAAAATGGCGTTTCCATGTAAGGAAAATCCCAATATCCCGATACGTGTTTTCACCTGGAGTGAAAACAAAACATTAAAATAGCAAAAGCCCGAATTGTGATTCAGAAGAGTTCATATGAAACAGACAATTTCCATCAACATCCGTGTTCTCTCCTAGGGTACGTCTAGACGGAGCCATGTAGATTGGTTTTTTTGGCAAAGACAAATGAAGCCGCGATTTAAATGATCGCGGCTTCATTTAAATGTACATGGCTGCCGCGCTGAGCCGACAAACAGCTGATCAGCTGTTTGTCGGCTCAGCACAGCAGCCATGTAAATTTAAATGAAGCTGCGATCATTTAAATCGCGGCTTCATTTAAATGTACATGGCTGCCGCGCTGAGCCGACAAACAGCTGATCAGCTGTTTGTCGGCTCAGCACAGCAGCCATGTAAATTTAAATGAAGCTGCGATCATTTAAATCGCGGCTTCATTTAAATGTACATGGCTGCCGCGCTGAGCCGACAAACAGCTGATCAGCTGTTTGTCGGCTCAGCACAGCAGCCATGTAAATTTAAATGAAGCTGCGATCATTTAAATCGCGGCTTCATTTGTCTTTGCCTACAACCCTAACCTACATGGCTCCATCGATGGAGCCATGTAGTCTAGACACAGCCCTAGAGAACGTCAGCAGAGATAAAATAATTGTGCCAAAGGGATGTGGAGTATTTCTGTGTTTTTGCGGGCATGTGGTAAAGCTCTGCTTCATGGAGCATTTCACTCACCATGAGCAGGAAGATGTCCAGAGGTGCTTTGGGTGGCAGTACAGGGATGTGGTCAGTGCTCGTCAAGACATCGGGACACTATTTCAATGCAGGAGAACATGGAAGCGACCACAGAAACACGCATTCTGGGGCAGAGAGGTTGGGGGAGATGCAGTTAGAAGGGGGCAGCAGGTAACTCTTGGGCGCCAGGGGTAGTGCATGTGCTGTGGACAGAGGCCAGAAGGGTTCAGACTGAGCCCACCACGTGACCGGGCTCAGCTCCACATGAAAGACCCTTGTCGGAGTTCAGGGGGGGAGGAGGAGGGTTGGGAACAGAGGGGAGTAAAGCCGAGAGAAGGAAACACAAAATAACACCCTGAACATCCCCACACACACTTGGACGGGCTGTCCAGAAACCTGGGACCAGAACTTCACCCCGAGGTCAGATTCTTAACCTGACCACGTTTGATAAGCTAGGACACAAGGATAGATTCAGAGACCCACAGGTCACTTGTACTAATAGACATAGATAGATAGATAGATAGAGGGGGTGTATGAGGATAGATAGATAGAGGGGGTGTATGAGGATAGATAGATAGAGGGGGTGTATGAGGATAGATAGATAGAGGGGGTGTATGAGGATAGATAGATAGAGGGGGTGTATGAGGATAGATAGATAGAGGGGGTGTATGAGGATAGATAGATAGAGGGGGTGTATGAGGATAGATAGATAGAGGGGGTGTATGAGGATAGATAGATAGAGGGGGTGTATGAGGATAGATAGATAGAGGGGGTGTATGAGGATAGATAGATAGAGGGGGTGTATGAGGATAGATAGATAGAGGGGGTGTATGAGGATAGATAGATAGAGGGGGTGTATGAGGATAGATAGATAGAGGGGGTGTATGAGGATAGATAGATAGAGGGGGTGTATGAGGATAGATAGATAGAGGGGGTGTATGAGGATAGATAGATAGAGGGGGTGTATGAGGATAGATAGATAGAGGGGGTGTATGAGGATAGATAGATAGAGGGGGTGTATGAGGATAGATAGATAGAGGGGGTGTATGAGGATAGATAGATAGAGGGGGTGTATGAGGATAGATAGATAGAGGGGGTGTATGAGGATAGATAGATAGAGGGGGTGTATGAGGATAGATAGATAGAGGGGGTGTATGAGGATAGATAGATAGAGGGGGTGTATGAGGATAGATAGATAGAGGGGGTGTATGAGGATAGATAGATAGAGGGGGTGTATGAGGATAGATAGATAGAGGGGGTGTATGAGGATAGATAGATAGAGGGGGTGTATGAGGATAGATAGATAGAGGGGGTGTATGAGGATAGATAGATAGAGGGGGTGTATGAGGATAGATAGATAGAGGGGGTGTATGAGGATAGATAGATAGAGGGGGTGTATGAGGATAGATAGATAGAGGGGGTGTATGAGGATAGATAGATAGAGGGGGTGTATGAGGATAGATAGATAGAGGGGGTGTATGAGGATAGATAGA